TGAAGGTGGACTTGCAGAAGGCCGTTGATTCAGTCCATTGGGGGTTCCTTTTATGGTTATGACTCGGATGACCTTTCCTCCTCGGTTTATTCAATGGATACAGACATGTCTGGAAACAGCAAGCTTTAGTATCTCTGTTTAGGGCAGCTTATTTGGCTTTCTCAGCAAAAAAAGGTGTGAGACAAGGTGATCTGCTTTCACCTTATCTTTATATGCTAGCAATGAAAATACTTTCTTCTATGTTAGATAGAGCAGCTTTGGAAAAGCAAATTCTATATCACCCTAAATGCAAAGCAATAGGACTTACTCACCTATGCTTTACAGACGATTTACTTATCTTTTCTGAGGGTTTAGCCAAGGCCCTAGCAGGAGTGAGATCAGTTTTGGATTCATTCTACAAGCTTTCGGGTCCTAAATGCAATCCACAGAAATGCGGAGTGTTTTTTGGTTGAATGGATGAGGCTGTCAGATCTCATGCTTTAGACAGTTCAGGTTTCAAAGAAGGTGGCTTGCTAGTTAAATACCTCGGAGTTCCCCTGCAATCTCGATCTCTAACTAGTGCAGACTGTGCTATTTTCATTGATAAACCGAGGAGAAGAATTTCAATCTTGGAGAGCCAATAAGCTTTCCTATGCTAGGAAGCTTCAATTGGTTTCTTCAGTTTTACTTGCAATAACTCAGTACTTGATGACAGTATATGTGCTGCCTAAGAAGGTGATTGCTAGGATTCAAAAACTCTATTCTGATTTTCTTTGGTACGGGGAGGGAACTGGTAGAGCAAGGGTGAGCTGGGAACGAATCTCATTACCTTATAGGAAGGAGGTTTAGGCCTCAGGGACTTGCACTCTTGGAATTTAGCTTATGCTGCAAGGATGATATGGATGTTGCTGGTTCAAAGTGGTTCTTTTTGGGTTGCCTGGGTAACAAGATACATATTGAAGAACATATTATTCTGGCTACTCCCTGAATCGCAAGTTGGCTCCTGGTTATGGAGGAAATTGCTATGGATTAGGCCTTGGTTTCAGTTTAGAATGTTGAATGATGGACATGAAGTTAGTTGGGAGGGACTAAGATTGAAAAAATTCTCCATTAGCATCATCTGGAACTCTATTAGGCCAAAATGTCACAAAGTGGCCGGTTCTCAGCCTTGTGGGGAAAATTTGATATCCCTAGGCATCGTTTTTTAGCATGGATGGTGATCAACAACCGAATCAAAACCAGATCACAGCTAAAGGAGCGGGGTGTAATTGAGTCTGATACTTGTCTCTTATGTCATGGTGCCCCTGAAACAAAAGATCATCTCTTCTGTGATTGTTCTTATTCAAGAACAGTGCTGATTGGTCTATTTCTAGACATTATTTGGTCTCATCAGTGGGTGGAGATGATGCATGAGCTTTGCAGGCTGGTTGCTGATGGTCACAAGCTGCTAGGGGTGTTATGGTGTTGGTATGTGGCTCTTGTATGGAGGGAGAGATGCAATCGAGTTTTTACTTCAGAAGTGAAGAGTAGCAGTGACTTGCTCCTATAAATCAAGCAGGAGGTGACCTACTATTGTCAGGGCAATGCTGATTTTGATGTATTAGTTGATAGTTATGCTGCTTATGTTATGAACTTGAAACATAGTCATAATTAGTCTTGTTGTCGTTTCTCTTTTTTCGACGAAGCTTGATATTCAAGCAAGGGCTAATAAGAGGAACGACAACAATTGTCGGGAAAAAAATGTCAAGAAATAACAAGATCCAAAGAAATACACCACCCCATCTAAAACCCAACTAGCTCTATTACAACAAAACTCAGGGGCCAAAATTAAATCACTTCACAAATTACTCTATATGAACAATTCAGTTGACAACTCTTGAAACTTTTTAAAATTCTACACCATGGAACATAGACGAGATCATATGGAAGCAATCACGTAGTGATGGTCCACCTAGTACATATTAGGGGTGGGCATGCGGTTCGGTAAACCCGAACTGAACCGACCCGAAACCGAACTATATCGAACCGAAACCGAAATATTACTTTTCGGTTCGGAATTCGGAAGTCAAAAGGTCATAATTCGGAAACCAGTGGTCGCAAACCGAACCCGAATTCCGATTAGCCGAACCGAGAAACCGATCTGAAACTTAAACCCACAATCCTACAGCCCAACTTGACTATTGAGGCCTCTCACAAAGCCCAACCCTCTAACAACTTAAACCAAACATAGCCCAAAATTAAATTTCTTACAGCCCACCACTCCATGTCTTCTGCTGGTGCTAACCTAACCCTAAGTAAAATTCATCCCTAGTCGCCGCCTGACCGCCTCCTCCACCGCTGCCCATCAAGGATCAGTCAAAGGTGCCGCCGAACCCTCCTGGTTGAGAGACGCCACAGAATCACCCTTGATCTCTATTCTTTTCTCCTCGCCGACCACTGAAGTTCGAGACCCTTTCTCTCTCTCCGCTCTATTCTCCTCCTGAGACCAGAAACCCAAATCCAAACTTAAAAATACACATGCATCCAATCAGTATCGAAAATCAATCGAGAAACCTACATGCATGTCGAAAATGGTTTACCCGATTCTAGATCCTATTTCCCTCATCTGCGCTCTCAGATTTAATCTTCTATAGTGAGCGTACCCAGCTCGTCGTCGTCGCACGTCAGTGGGATTGGAGGCGGAGATCTCTACCATCGTCATTGAAGTTATCACCATCGCCGCCGTCAATCGCTTCAGGCCGCCGTCCTTCGACTGGAGGCGGAGATCTCTACCGACGCTGTCGCGGCAGCTGCGTTGTGCTCGCCGTCGTCGGTCGCCGCCAGCTCGTTAATTGGTTGGAGGGAGAGAGAGGGGGGAAGATCAGAGGATTCAGCTGCGTTGTGCTCGCCATCGCCGGTCGCCGCCGTGTTAGTTGGTTGGAGGGAGAGAGAGGGTGGAAGATCGGAGGAGTCAGGGAGAAGTGAGAGGGCGAAAGAGAGAGAGAGGGCGGAAGAGAGAGAGTCAGGGAGAAGTGAAAAGATAGGGTAGAGAGGGAGAAGGGGCTCGTTTGAGATAAGGTGAGCCTTTCGGTTTTGGGCAGTCGAACCGAACCGAACCGAGCTATAATTCGGTTCGGCCGAACCGAACCGAATTATAGCTCGGTTCGAATTCGGTTGGGGTGCTGGGTACTTCGGAAATTCGGGATGTCCTGGTTCGGTTCGGTTTGAACCGAACCGACCGAACGCCCACCCCTAGTACATATGAAGAAATACCCTTATGCAATTCACGAATGGACACAAAAATAGTCTATACATTCTAAAATACCAAGTAATATCACAACCTTTTCTTCCCCCAAAATCTCTCCAATTTCACCTTCACTTTGTTTATCGTATTTTGGTTTTGTTATGATCTGAGGATCCAAAACATTTTATTGTTCGTCAGTATTTTTATCCTTTAATTATTTTTCAGATATTTTTTTCACCTTGTTTTGCGATGTCGAAGTGCATGTTCCCTTGATCAGACCGATATGATGAGTTCCGAGAGGACCAAACTTCCTTTTAACTTTATTTTGCTGAAATTTTCAGAGCAACGCAAATAAATGTCACATTAGTTTGAAAAATCGACTAGAACTAGAAGTTCATTAGAAATCATTATTTGATGTCGGTCTAGGCACAATATATAAGTAGACCAACAAGAGACCTAATTAAGCACTCACTCTTGTGGATTGGATAAAACAGATATGTAGGCGGATGATGACTGATGTCTCCACTATCATCTTCAATTCAACTTATCGCCCATAGAAAATGGGGATTGAGTGGCATTAGGCACATACATTCTAGATCACCTTCATTCATTGCGCTCTCTCCACTAAGGGTTAGTGATAAATAAATAAAAAAGTATATTCTCCCAACAATCATGCATGATGTTACGATGGAATGGATCGACGAAACAAGAAAGTAAACAACACATAGATGTACGTGGTTCACTAATATAACGTGCGTTAGCTGATCCACGAGCATAAGAGACTAGCTTCACCGTATACTTTGATGAGATACTTATGTCATTTAGATGAGAAATTATACATAGCACCTTCTCCAGATAGTCTAACATCAATCTAATCTAAAATGGAAAATGTTACAACCTAGATCGACAGATCCAAAACAAAACAACATATTACGACGAGACTCCTATAACTTCCATTCAACGACATATAATCTATATTTAAGTCGTAATAACACATACTTGAGTATACATAACTTCAAAACGAAGCCTGGTGAGCACCACCACAGTAGCATTACCGATCAATGATTATAATGAACCCAGATAAGCTCAAAGTGGGAACAGAAGGAAGGTCATGCCTAGAGAGAAGCCAGAGACCCTTTTCTATGGTTCTATCCATTTCCGCATCAACCAACTACAGTACTCTTCATTAACACAACACCAGTTAGCATGTTCTGAGGTATGAATGCACAGGCAGAACAGCAGGCTTCTTTCTCCATTTCTCTTCTCTCTACCAACCAACAATATGCGATGATTTGCCTCCTGTGCTCTCTCCAATCACACTCTCAGCATCATTCTGTTCTGTAGTTGGTGGATGGAGGCTTCCCACAAAAGGAAAATGCCCACTCCCTCATAATGGAGCATCATTTCGAGATAGTGGCTCAGCCTCTCTAAAAACACTTACCAACTCATCTTCTTGAAACAACGGTTATCCGTATTGTCAAGAACCAGTTGATCTCAATAACTCGAACGAAAATCAATTCAGAACAGGTTGAAATTTGCACATCCATCAAAATACAATGTGCTTAACAAATTGAGTCACCGAGATTCGAACATAAGATATCCCGACCACAGAATACTATACTACTATGTCAAAAAAAAAAAACTCAGTTGATTCTAATAACACGAATTGTTGAAAGATTTTCAATAATTAATCATATACCACTTATCAACACCTATAAAAACACTGCAATTCATCAGACTTCTTCTCCATGTTCCAAACCTTCCTATCTCTCTTTTTTTCTCACCAATTGTAGCAAGAATGATCCTCTTAAGGTTATCCTTAATGGTTCTTATTATATCCTTTGTGGCTACCAAAACAACTTCTTCAACTGAGAGACAAGCATATGTGATTCACATGGACAGAACCAAGCTCCCTCCAGCAGCTTCAGCTTCAGCTTCAACACAATGGTATGAATCCCTCATCAATTCAGTTGCCGAAACCCCGTCACAAGATCATGAAGAAGAAGAAGAAGAACAAACGATGCAAAGTAGTAGTCCAGAGCTTCTGTACGCATACAACACGGTGGTGTCAGGATTCTCCGCAAAGCTCTCTGCCTCAGAGCTCCAATCCCTGACCAAAACCAACGGCTTCCTCACCGCGATCCCGGACGAAATGCTGATCCTCCACACCACCCACACTCCCAAATTCCTCGGCCTGGAGCTCGGCAAGGGGCTATGGAGTCCTTCAAGCTTGGCCTCCGACGTAATCGTCGGGATTCTCGACACCGGAATCTGGCCTGAACACCCTAGCTTCCAGGACAGAGGACTGCCTCCGTTGCCGCCGTCCAGATGGAAAGGCCAATGCGAAACCGCAACCAAATTCTCACTTTCCAATTGTAACAACAAGTTAATCGGCGCAATGTACTTCTACAAGGGTTACGAATCCGTCGCGGGAAGGATCAACGAGACGGTGGACTACCGTTCCCCTCGTGACTCCAACGGCCACGGCACCCACACGGCTTCCACCGCCGCCGGCGGGCTTGTAGGAAGCGCCAATTTTTTGGGGCTGGCGAATGGTTCTGCCGCCGGGATGAAGTACACGGCGAGAATTGCTGCCTATAAGGTCTGCTGGGCTTTGGGGTGTACGAATTCGGACCTTCTGGCCGCCATGGAGCAAGCGGTGAAAGATGGAGTTGATGTCCTGTCCCTCTCTTTGGGTGGCGCCCCGAAGCCGTTTTACAACGACAATGTGGCGATTGCTTCGTTTGGAGCTGTTCAAAATGGGGTTTTCGTTTCCTGCTCGGCGGGGAATTCAGGACCGGCGAGTTCCTCTGTTTCCAATGTCGCGCCGTGGATTATGACCGTGGCGGCTAGCTACACGGATCGTGGGTTTCCGACCACTCTGTTTTTAGGAAATGGGGCGAAATTTGAAGGGTCGTCGCTCTATTACGGAAAATCGATCAAGAATTTGCCGATTGTTTATGCCGGCACTGCCGGCGGGAAGAAGCAGGGAGCCAATTACTGCATCAATGGATCACTGGATAAGAAGCTGGTGAAGGGGAAAATCGTGGTCTGCGACAGAGGACTGAATGGCAGAGCAGAAAAGGGTCAGATCGTGAAATCGGCAAGGGGAGCGGGAATGATTCTGGTCAACGGGGATAGAAACGGCGGCGAGGAGATGCTCGCCGATCCCCACGTTCTCCCGGCGACTTCGTTGGGAGCTTCAGCAGGGAAAGAACTGATGAATTACATCGCGTCGAGCAAAGCTCCGACGGCGTCGATCGTCTTCAGGGGAACGACTTACGGCGCCAATGCGCCGGTAATGGCGGCTTTCTCGTCGAGAGGACCGAGTTCCATCGGCAGGGAAGTGATCAAGCCGGACATTACCGCTCCGGGGGTCAACATTCTCGCCGCCTGGCCGCCGGTGACCGCTCCGACACAGCTGAAGACCGACAAGAGACGCGTTCTGTTCAACATCATCTCCGGGACGTCGATGTCCTGCCCTCACATCAGCGGGATCGCTGCGTTGCTGAAATCAACTCATCAAAATTGGTCGCCGGCGGCGATCAAATCGGCGATGATGACGTCGGCTTACGATCTCGACAACACGGCGAACCCGATCGCCGATTTAGGGTCGTCATCCTCTGTTTCGGCGACGGCGTTCGCGTTCGGGTCGGGTCACGTCGACCCGGAGCGAGCTTCGGATCCGGGTCTGGTGTACGATGTTTCGACGGAGGATTACCTGAATTACCTCTGCAGTTTGGATTATAACGCGACTCAGATGTCTGCCGTTTTGTCGGGGAAGAGTTTTGAGTGTCCTGAAGGTTCCGATTTTCGGCCCGGCGATCTGAATTACCCTTCTTTCGCGGTGAATTTTAAGAGGGGCGGCGGAGGAAGGAATGAGACGGTGCGGTTTAGGAGGACGGTGACGAACGTTGGGACTGATGTGTGCAGCTACAGGGTGAAGGTGGAGGAACCGGTTGGAGTTTCGGTGGTGGTAGAGCCGGAGGTTCTGGAGTTTGGGAGGTTGGGGGAGAAATTGGGGTATAGTGTGGGGTTTGTTGCGGCGGCCGGAGGTGGGGATTCCGTTCCGGCGTTTGGGAGTGTTGTTTGGTCGGCGGGGAAGTACTCCGTTCGGAGTCCGATTGCGGTTACGTGGGAACAACAATAGATTCGGGTGTTTCTTACTGGAAAGATTGAGTGGTACTTGACGAGTAAATTTGTTTGGAACTTGTATTTTGAGGCAATAGTTCGTCTCAAATGCTTAAATTAACAAAGGTCAAGAATTATTGGTATCTTGATGGAGACTTTCATCAATGTGTGAGCATTGATTAGAAACATTGGCAAAACATTTTGCATATTGACTATCAATATTGAACTGAAATGAAGTTTGAAAGATTACCTAAATTCTGGTTAATTTTATTTTTTGTCCGGTTAGAAAACCTAATTAATAAGAATTTTGGACCAGCTCTAAAGACAGCGAGAATAAAATAATTTTAGTAGGTAAAATTATTGATAGAGTAGATTGATATAAATGTTTAAATTATGTCAATAAATAACATTGTGATCTCTCTTTTTATGTTTCTTATTATAGAGGGTTAATAGCATTTTATACCCCTTTATTATAACGAATTAACAAACGTACCCTTGTATTATATTTTCGAACAAACATACCCTTCTACTATCGAAACTTAACAGGAAAACCCTTCCATCCAAAAATCCGCTTACTAACCGTTAAATGGAGAGAAACATTACCGTATTACCCCTTTTCTTATACTGAAATTTATTCTTTAACCTTTCTTTTTCCTGTAAAAACAAAACTTAACCTAATTCTTATCCTTCTCCCTTCTATCGTCGAACACTCCCCTTCTTCATTCACTCCGCCATCCACCGTCGTTCGTGGTCAGCTTCAACAAAACCCGCTCCAACTATATACTCCGCTGGCGATCAACTCCACCTCCGACGCCAGCCAGTCATCGGCACCCAAATGCTCCTCTGCAGCGGCAGGAGAGGAATTCGACGAGGGCGTACTTCGACGGCAGCGGCAAGATTAGAGTTCAAAAGTTGCAGAAATATGTGGGTGAGAATGAAACTTCTCAATTATTCGCCAATTGACCCTCTGATCAGGCGGTGTTGACTTCTGCTAATAGAGTAATCTAACTCCAATGCGTTTCTCCTTTTAAGAAATAAGCAATAGCAAAGTTCATTCTAGTGGTGTATGGGTTGAGGAATTTTGTGGATATTGGTATATAATCCAGTAGCATGTAGTGACAGAAGGGGGGTTTAGGGAGCGGAGGAGCAGTTGGGGGTTTATTTGGCGGAATAAGGTGTACTAGGGGGTTCGTACTTCGGTTGTGTAAGTTTTTCTTTTGACAGGGACAAAATGGTTAAAAATGAATTTTAATATAAGTCAGGGGTAATTGGGTAATTTCCAACCCCATTTAACGGTTAATAAACAGTTTTTTGGATGGAAGGGTATTTTTGTTAAGTTTCGATAGTAGAAGGGTATGTTTGTGCGAAAATATAATAAAGGGTACGTTTGTTAATTTGTCATAATAGAGGGGTATAAAATGCTATTAACCCTATTATAGAAGGTGATAAGAAGTTAATATTAGAATCTATATGAAAAAATAAATTAAAGTTTATCTAACATTAATAAATTAAAAGCATATACATAAAAAATAAAATAAAAAGCGACCAGGGCAGGCCCGTGAGGAAATGTGCACAGGCCCATGTTAAATAATGGATCCAAATCAATCGTTGGACTTCAACATTAAATACTAGGCCTTTACTAAACAACTGAAGACTGGTTACGTTAGGCCCTGCCATTGGCCCAGGTGGTTTCGGCCTCCCGTTTTACATAAGAAAATTATGGGGTTAATGCCATATTTGGTCACTGTGATTACTGAATTGCGTCATATTTAGTCACTAGAAAAAGTTAATATCAAATTTGGTCACTACAATTACTAAAATAGGTCATATTGAGTCACTCTCCGTTAGTCTCCGTCCAACTCCGTTAGTGGAGTCTGTTAAGTGCTGACATGGCTAACGGATGCGCCTAGTTAGCACTGTTTTGACCCAAAAATCATCAGACCCGACCCGCCACGTCAGTTTCACCCGCCATGTCATACACCAACCCAACCATTAACCCAACCCGACCCAAAACCAAACCCTAACCCACCTAACAAAACAAATTTGGAAAATCATCTGGTTAGTGGCCATTTTCAGACCAAAACCCTTCTACTTCCTCGCAAACCTGCTCGAGATACATCAAACAACTAGCTTAAGTATAGACCATCTACAGCTGTAATAATGGAAGGTTGTGCAAAGAGAATCAAACGCACATACCCCTTTCCATAATTGATTCCCCTTTTCTAGAGTTTTTAGACTAGCTTACAACCAGAAAAAGCAAAGAAACCACTTACGTTTACCGTCGGGGAAGAAGAGAGCCGGAGCGCGACAGGGGGAAACTGAACTCGCGCAATGGGGAAAGCTGACGCCGGCGTGCCCTGGGGGGAAGACGACGACGGTGCACGGCGAAGGTGGATTTGAGGGTTTCGCCTTCTACTGCGATGGCGAAAACTGACGGCGCGCAGCGACGGAGAAGAAGAAGAAGCCAGCAAACCCTGCATCATCGTGCTGGCAGAGAAAAAAAAACCTCCAATCAAACTGGTGAAATCTATTCCAAACCCCAGTGAGAAACCGCATGTGAAAGGTAAAAGCTGGATCTTGTTGAGGAAGAAATTCTACTTCAAACGTAACATTAATTTTTGGAGATGGGTATCGATTGCATTGAATTCGAGTGCAGGGCACCAAGAAAAAGATCGGAAGATGGAGTGAAGTAAGGCTAGTAATCAACCGACACTCAAGAAACAACAAAATTCGAGCTACCCACCATCAGAGTGCGAATTGGAATGGCGGTAAATGACAAATAACGGAGAAGAAGCAGCAGCAAAGAGGGATCGTCGGTTCTTACATTTAATTGAAGGAATTATAAAATCTCAATGAAGAGGAAGGTAGGTTCGTCGTCTCGAGGCGATGGAATGAAAGAGAGACGATCGCCGGCGAGCTCCCAAGCGGTGGAGGACTTGGCTTCAATGGAAGGCGTGAGATTTGAGGGGAAGACGAAGACGGTGCACGACGAAGGTGGATTTGAGGGTTTCGCCTTCTACTGCGATGGCGAAAACTGACGGCGCGCAGCGACGAAGAAGAAGAAGAAGAAGAAGAAGAAGAAGAAGAAGAAGAAGAAGAAGAAGAAGAAGAAGAAGAAGAAGAAGAAGAAATGCAAAATGGAAGGAGGATCTGGGACAAGGGGTAGCGTGGAGGTCTTCATCTCTCTCTGGAGTTCGATTGAAAATGGCTGAACCTAGAGGAAGGAGCAGGTTTGCGAGGAAGGAGAAGGGTTTTGGTTTGAAAATGGCCACTAACCAGATGATTTTCCTTTTTTTTTTTGTTAGGTGGGTTAGAGTTTGGTTTTTGATCGGGTTGGGTTCATGGTTTGGTTGGTGTATGACATGGCGGGTGAAACTGATGTGGCGGGTCGGGTCTGATGATTTTTGGGTCAAAACGGCGTTGACTAGGCGCATCCGTTAGCCACGTCAGCACTTAACGGACTCCACTAACAGAGTTGGACGGAGACTAACGGAGAGTGACTCAATATGACCTATTTTAGTAATTATAGTGACCAAATTCGATATTAACTTTTTCTAGTGACTAAACATGACACAATTTAGTAATCACAGTGACCAAATATGGCATTAACCCAAAATTATGTGTGTGCTTTTAATTTATTATTATTGTTTGATAAAATTAAAAAAATTTCTTAATATATTCTAATAAATATTTTAATATGATATAAAAATAAATATGTTGTTTAATATACGTATATATGAACGTATACATTTTATGATACCATTGGTTTGCCATATGCTCCGTTCTCCTTTTCCTGCACCTGATATACCAAGCAATTCCACCACAGAGTACAAATGGTAAAAGAGCTAGAGACATTAGAATAGTTGTTACCATGAGATTCTCTTTCTTTGGTTGCTCCGCTTTCTTCCTCTTTCATGAAGAAAGACTTGTCGTAAATCACCGGGTGTCTGGCTGGCGTGTTTCGCCAGAAAGAAATTCATGAGAGTTTGGTCATAACAAACTTCTGTTTCTATATTATTGTCTAGTCATTTCATTTTTCTCCGTCCAATTATTGACTCATGTACTAAACACGTATAAGACCTATAAAAAGTGTTATTTCTGTATTTAATGAAATACTATTTATACATTTTGAATATGGTGGGTCCCGGGAACCATCTTGGCTTGAGATTAGGAAACTCAAAAAATAACAATATGTTTGAACCTAACTGAGTGTAAGAGTGAGGTTCGGGTGGAGAATGAGGGTCAAGGAGAGTAAGCAGTGGGAATTGACAATGGAACGGAGAAACGAAGGTAGGGAAGAATAAGGTTGGGAGAACAGAGTCTTAGAGAGAGAAGTTGATGATTGTAGAGATAGAGTCTGGAAAAATGCGATCCCCTCACCCACCGGAGTAAATGCCCTATTTATAGGCTACATGGTGGTGGGTGAGTGGTTGGATTACATGATGGTACAATGACATGACCACTACCATGTCAGGGATTTAGGCCATGCCTCTATCTAGGACATGTCAGAGGTTTACCTATGACTGTATCTAGGCCCTTGATGTGACTATCCCTCGGGAAGCGCGATGACGCTTTCTGCGGCTCTTTAGTCTGGCCCGCGCTTTGATCTTTCAACGTGCGCGTAGCCTGTGGCGCGCTTGAGGTCTTTGCGCTGAGGCGCGCCGGTGTCTTCGCGCTGTGTCGCGCGAGAGGTCTTCGGTCGTGGCGCGCCTAGACGGGTCCGGCAGCAACTGGGGTAGTGTCGGTGCGTTTCTCTGGTGCGGCTTGGTCCGAGTCACATGCCCAACAATTGCCCCCCATCAGGGGGTGTTCCGCGAATACCTCCTGTTGATTTCCGCCTGATTGACTCGGACCTGCGTGATCTCCGTGGGATAGACCTTCCGGATTCGTTACTGATCGCGCTGACTTTCCGCCTGGAGGGAGTCGTGCTGATCCCGCGACTTTCATGGGATTCTTCACGGTTGTTGCGCTGATCGCACGACACTTGAGATTGATGTCGTGTTGATCGCGCGATTTTGT